CCCGTGTTTTACGAAAATTTTAGGCAACGTACGGTCAACGACAGAAAATATATTGCCACAAGGGAATCCTAAAGAAAGGTCAAATTAAAAAAAAACTCCGCAACCAAAGATCTTTAATACTTTATTCTCCTTTAATCTTTACTACTCACTTTTAATAATAGCTTTTTAAGTTTGTGTCATAATCTTTAATTTAGTTTCCCACACTGGATAAGGAATAAATGAAAAACCTTGAATGCGCCGCTGCTAACATATAGTAAAGCCTTCTTCTTCTTTACAGTGGGTGTTTTCCGCAACTCGACACCAGGTGCCCATTTTGCGTGAGAGGATGGCTTTAGTCCTTGCCATCCCAACTCCCCCAAAAAGCTCAGCAGTCTCTTGGTGTCCCCGCAGGCTTTGAGCAGCGTCTGCAGGCTGCCCAGGTGTGTCATCCGTTGTCTGGTCACGCCTCTGCATTATAGCAGAACGTGAGTGCTCGTCTCTTCTTCCTCTATACAGGCTCTGCACAGAGGACTGTCCGAGACACCTATTTTAAAGAGATGTTTATTGAAGTGTCCATGTCCTGTGAGAATGCTCACAATTTGTTTCAAAGCATGTCTTGGTAGCTTGCAAAACTTACTTGCTAGCCGTAGGTCTACCTTAGCTTTGGCCTCCCTGACCTGCCTTAAGTTTGCAAGTCCAGCCCAGTATTAATTGTGTTGTCGCAGGTATCGTTCCCTAATCCAATCTCGTGGCTTTCGGTATGGGATGGTACGATTAGTTCTTGGCCAAATACCGCAGTGACCGACCCTCTCCTGGCCAGACAATCTACCGCATCATTGCCCCATGACCCACATTGTCCTTTTATCCATTGGAGTATAACTTCGTTTTCGTTGCCTTCCTCCATAAGTTTGCAGTGGTACTCGAAAACCAGGCCGGAGGACATTATGTCGTTGTCTAGCGCCTGGAGTACCGAGGCACTGTCAGAGAGTATCCGGATGTTCTTACTCCTGATTGCACGGTGTGTTGCGTGTTGCGCGCTGTTCTGATAATACCTATACACTCCGTCTGAAAGACAGTATTGAAGATACCCAAGCTGTCTGATATATGAATATTAAAATCTTTCGAGAACACACCTGCACATCTGAGTTAGTTTTGGAACCGTCTGTGTATACCCTTAGCTCCTTATGCCGTCTTCGATCTGAATTGTCTTCATATAGTTTATATAGTATTCTATATTTTTTGTCAAATGTCTAGGGATGATGTCTTTTTCGCCATGAAGAAGGGGTATTCTTCCTCAGTACCTTTTAAAATACGAGTATGTGGCGTATAGTAGTCTCTCCACAAGCCCAGCATGTGAAGCCTAGTAGATGCACATGCTGCTTCTTGCTGGATGTAATGGCCTTACGTTAAGAATCGTCTCTAGTGCTGCAGTTGGGGTGGTTTTCATGCAGTCCGTTATCACTCGGCACACACGCCCTTGGAACCACTTAAGTTTGTCTATGGTTGTTACCCGCGTTGTCTTCGTCCACCATACAAGGGCTGCATAGCCTTATATGTGTTCCCCAGTTGAGTTTGCTGTCTAGGTTTATGCCTAAATACTTTACCTCGTAAAAACACAGCGTTTTGCCAAATAGTTCTGGCATTCGGTAGCTACCCAGGTTCCTTTTGTTGGTAAACAAAACTAGTTCTGTTCTCCCCGGGTTTACCTTTAGCTCATAGTCTGTGCACCACATCTCTACCACTCTCAGTGTCCTTTGTGTCCGTGCCGTGTCAGAAAACTTACCTGGAATTAAGATCGCTAGGTCATCTGCATATCCTATCGTGTGGTACTGCTAATTGTTCAGTCTTGTATTATGGTCATTCACCACTGTATTCCAAAGTAGCGGTGAGAGTATCCCACCTCGTGGGCAGCCTCTCGTAGCCAGTGCTCGCAATTTATTCTCTACTTATGGTGTTATTAACCTGTTAGATAGCTTAATAGTTATCCACTGGACGATGGTTTCATCAGCTCCATAACTAAGAAGGGTTATTGTGATGCTTCTAAAACTGGTTTTGTCAAATGCTCCTTCTATGTATATACATAGAAGGAGCACGATAGAGGATAGCCTAAGACACATTCACATTCATATGAATGTGAATGTGTCTTAGGCTATCCTCTATCGTGCGTGCTTACCACGGTATGCAATGCCGATTCTGTCGATTTACCTGGACTGTAGTCATGTTGATTTCCCTTGATAGTAAAACCATATAACGTACACAATGACATATCCGGAAATAGTTCTGGAAGATAGACTGGCAACCTATCACCACAATGCAAACGGTCATAACTATTGTTTTAAAGTGATTTTACAATCAAATAGATAACTTCAACACAGAACCCATAAAGAGGTAAGAAGGGTCTTGTGGTCGACGCAGGCGCGCTACAGTTATGTGTGAGCAATAGCACTCTTCGCTATCCGGGCGAATACACTCTGTGTATATCATTTAAATTTCAACTCGATACCTTCACGCATTCCTGAGATAAAAGGTCCTGACAGACAGACAGACTGTTCCATTGTTTCCTTTCGTTTCCTACTTTAATTAAGATAGGAGTGTATCCATAAGAATTCATTAAAGCAAATAAACAGTCACACCAAGAATTTAGTTCACTAATTTTCGTGATGGCGACATCGCGTGTTCAGAATATATTTTCTACAAATGGCACTATTTAACTGGAGTTATGGAGAAATTGAAATAAACGAAAATTACCTATCAAGTGTTGAAAATATTTGTTAGAAATGTTTTACTTAATGCTTCAGGAAATTTCACGCTGTCGTATCTATTGAGGAGTTGATAGAACCACAATTAAAAGTGCGATACAATATAATTTAACTTCTAACAAAATCACATTTTTTTACGTTTTCTATTTTTTTACTTACAGCATACGGTCTCACTAAAAGACATCAATAAATTTTTAAGCTTGATTTCAAGATATTTTTCTTTGAGGTAACTGCTCTCTGATTGCGACCGTAAGAGCGGCTATGGACTGCTCGAGCAGTCAGAGTCAACAGCTTGAAGTTGCCATTGAAAACTGCTCAAGCAGTTCATACCAGCTATTCGATCCGTGTATGTTTGAACGTAGTAGATTGTAGTTTACCATGCAATCGCAGCTTGAAGCAGTCCACCTCGAATGCTTCAAGTTGCTCGTATATGGCGGCTCTAAGATTTTAGTTTTAGAAAACTAGGATATATAATATAATAGGTAATGCGGTATAAACAGCAATATAATAGCCGTTTAATGGAAACTGGCGAAGGCTTAAGCTGTATAAAGAAGCTCTACAGTATTTGTACAATCAGCTACAGTACTTTTGTGCATTAAATTTGGGCACAACTTATACAACTTATAACTCTAAAAGCGCTGTATAGTAGCCGTCCAAACGTTTTAACGTGGCGAAATCTGAGAAAAGAGTTTTAGAGGCGCTACAAACTCCATGGAGATGAATTCCTTCAGATTATTATCTCTTTACCTCCCTGAAGATGCACATGGGTGGAAAAAGGTTTTCAACCGACGAGTAGGTAAAGGAGGAGGTGGAGAAGTGGACGAAGGGGTTGGCGGGAAACCCTTTCGAGAAAGGCATCAAAAAGTTGATATCCTGCTTCACCACCTGCATTGAGAGGAATTGCGACTATGTCGAAAAATAGCTTACATATGTACTACGATAACAATGTTATTTAATTGTTACAATAAAAAAAATGTAGCTTACAAAAATTCAGTACACTTACTTTATGGATATGCCTCGTACAATTAAGTAGCGTTTATTGCTTATGGAATTTTAGTTTATAATTTTTTTTATGATAAAAGTGCCCAGTAATGGTGTCATAATTATGCTACTTATTAGACAGTGGTAGTTTGTTATGTTGTTTACAGTTGTAATTATTGTTGTTAAAGCCATAAAAACATAAATATCCACAGTGATTTTAAGTTAAATAACATCTATAATAATACACGCTATGGCGTCTTCTATTTGCAGCTTGTGACGCTTCACAATTTACGTTCTGCGGGCTTTAGATGTATAGTTACGTTAGTATTCACTTCATTAGTGAATAAGGGTATACATAAATATGGTATATAAGAGTACAATGACAATTACAGATGGATTCCAGTTCTTTGTGAGCTCGTTTGTAGGACCTAAGAAGTTGCAACAGAAATAAAGGTCAATCATACATAAATAAAATCACCTTCATTGTCACAGTTGTGATATTAATAAGATGCCAACTCTTTTATCAGTTTAATAATTAGGTACATATAAAGCTCTACTCCAGTTTTTAGTTGTTTAATGTAAGAAAATTTAACAGTGTACCACTTTAGTGGTATGGAAGAGGTATACTGCACTACACTGATAACTCTGACTTAAACTACCAGTTAACCCAAGTCAACGTCAACTCAGATCTATGTATTTATGTTTGTTGCCTGTTGCCATGGCACTGAATCCAAATGATTTTAGTTTGACTTTAAATGTACTTTAGATTTGAGCAAAACATAAGAAATTAATTCTTGATTTTTAGTTGATTTGTTTTCAAGAAGTCAGTTTTATTTTAGTCAAAAGTTGTTATTTTTATCTTGTTTATTGTTTTTTTTTCAATAGTCGATATTGAACTACTGAGCCGTGAGCATTTTTAAATTTGTAAATTACGATATACATTATAGCAATTATTACAATTATACAGTATTTAAAAAATATTTGATTTTAAAGATATTGACAATCTTGCATAGTATTTGAAAACCAAAATTAAGTATGCACTGCAAGCATAAGCATAATTTATGATCATAAAATGTTTAAAGTATCTAAACATTATTAAGTGAAAGTAAATCATTTGACTTTTAAAATTGACTACTACGTGTAGTTTTATAGGAATACAACAATAACTTAAATTAGCATCAAAAGTTCCGCAAAATCAAAAAGATTAAGATCTTAATCGAACGGTAAATGTTACCTTTTCATGTTTACTTTCAAATATCCTAGTAAAAGAAATAATAATATGTCGATCACTTATATAATATTATTATAACCATTCAGGGTGACGATAACAAGAAACGAACCAAATATAGTACTGTATTTTTTTATTTGAACATAAAAAAGGTTTCGACTAGATGAAACATTGTTGGCAGTGATATTTCAAGTGTGTTGTTAGTAATTTTGGCTATTTGGTGGTGAACTTAGAACCTCTTGACGGGTCCCTCTTCTTTGGGTGGGTGAGTCCTGATGTACTCGAGAGACCTGATGATGTATTCGGGGATTTCCTGAGGCGGAGGAGGAGTGGGAAGATGGGCACCCTGTAAAAATGAGAACGAATCAATATAACCTTAAGACCTAATAAATTATTATACCTATTAGTAACAATTGATGCCATCGCCTGAATATACAGTAGATCTTCAGCAATATCCCAAGCAACCATTTAACCTTAATAAAGACAGCTTTAGGTAAAACATAATTTAAATTAATAATCCAATTATGGAACGCCGGATTTTTAACGAGATCTCAAGGTACCTTCGTCAGAATACATAATTGATGAGTTAACTCCATTTAAAGATGTATTGATCTTGAACTTCATTATAATACTTGTTCTATTAATTCACGAAGCTTCGTCTCAATGTCGACCTACTTGACGAATCTTTTGATTTCAAGGCCTTGATGCCATTCGCCCGATCTTTAAATTTTCATTGAGTTACCAAATGAATGTCCATAGAATTAAAATTTACTTATAAAGTGACGCCGTAAAGTTCAAACGTACAGCTATCAAATCTAAATTATGCAGTTAGTGGAGTTTTTTATCTTAACGCCATTTAGTAAGGTCGTAATCAATTCCGTACTGTTCATTAGAACCGTTGATTAATGATGCCTGTGTTTTTAAGGCTTGATTCTTTGCTATCATAAAGTTCGATTTAATAATGGGACTTTAATTATTTACCTGGGGTTGGTAACCGTTCTCATCAGCGACGTAAGAGATCTGAATTGGAGTGCCATCGGGAGCGGTGTATTGGTTGGAGCCTTGAACTGAGATGGCCTCGTCCTCCTGTTATGAAAATGAAGAAAAGTATAGATAAATGCTACTGCCAATTGTTATAATTGGATACAACAAAAAATGTATCTAGGAAAATCGCTTCTTTTAACACTTCATTCATAATTCATATAAAATACGAAGTGGGTGTTTGCGGTCAGTTGCAACCGCGAAATCGAGATTGTTATTTCGTAATAACAATATACACTTGAGATTGACATAAATTTTAAAAATGCAAGATAATAAAAAAACACAAACGAATAAATAAATCACCTGTCACTTTTATTATAAGTTTAGTGATCAATTATATTATTAAAATAAACATAGGACCATCAACTTGCTGTCTCGAAGAATTTGTAATCGCGATATTTAGACAATCCAATATTGGCTTACGTTACCGCGCATATATCACATCAGTTATCAGCAAAAAGTGATTGTGAAATGTATAACTGTCTTCTACGTAAGACAAGACAGTATTAGCTAACTAATACACAAAAGATGAAGCAAAAGGTTGCGTCCAGGTCACAAACCAAAGTGTAGAAATCTAAAAATAATAATGAGATTGCGTGTCTACTGATTTTGAAATAAGGATTCTTACTTTAAGCATACCTGGATAAATATATACATCTTAATGAGTTTGTAGATCTGTATCGGTTAAAGGTTGAGTATTTCAATGATACGTAATATTTTGTCTTATATAATAGCAATTGCAATCGATCTTGTTTCCTCCAAAGGTCTAAATGTACAACCTAAGGTAAAATATCAATGAGTAATAATGGATTCACATACTATAGGGATAGGTTCATTTGATTAAATGTCATCGGTTGAGGCCTTCAGTTCATCGTTTAATTTATCGCTATAAGCACAGGTTGAGTTAATTCATGTTTTCCTTGACTTCACCTTAATGTGTTTTAGGTACCTATTGGTGGCGATTCTGGCAATATTCTCTAAACTTAAAACAAAATTTAACGTCAGTCTCTCCTTTTCATTATGTAAAGAGATTGACAAGGATACACTGTTGTCAAATTTAAGTTTGGATTTAGATAATCATTCTAGAATTGGGCCCATTTTGATATTAATGTATAAGTTAAAAAAATCTAGTTCTATTTAATCCATTAAATGTGTTTTAAATGATCAATATTATTAAAATATCTGCATTTTAACTTAAATATCAAGTAGATCATGTGAAGCGATCTATTATAAATGTATAATAGATGTATCATAAAGATAAATGAATAAGATGTTTTACTAATTGATTAATTACTCTAAAATCTTTTTGCAAATTGTAATATAATATATTCGCAATTAAAAGTAGGATTAGTCAAAATATTGAAAAAACAGCTTCCCGTGTTCGATAACTAAAAACAGTTATTTTTCTTACAAAAGTTTTGCTTTTTTAATGTAAAAATCTACTTTTAACATATTTTAACACACCTAAATGGAGAGTAAAAGAAAAGGACATGCTGGTAAATGAAGCAGTCAAATAGTAATTATATATCAATTAATAGGTAGCTATCTGTTATTTCTACTTACACGACCAGCGTTCTTCAGCTGTCCAGACTCTTGAGCTGCGATGCCGTTGCTGGTCTCATAAGAGTATTGGTACTGGTCAGGGAAGACGTCAGCTTCTTGTTTCAAGATCTGGGCATCCTGGTCGGGGTTGCGGACGATGTGGGACACATCGGCAGCGGCGAGGGCCACGAGGGCAAGGATAGCGACGAAGGATTTCTGGAATCATGATTAGGGAGGTAATTTCATGTATTTTAGAAAAACCACAAACAAACTTATAGCTCTTATGATAGCAAGCAGCTTCTATAGCAAAAAAACGCTTTTCATTGTGAGCTTTTTGAAAATAATGTTGTTGTGTGGTACCAACCAAACATCAAGGTAGAAAATGAGTTGTTATTTTAAGGGTTAGGATTACAATTCAAAGAAAAGTTAGATTTGTAAATATGAAAGGAATTGAAAAGTTTTGTTAATTATCAAATTAAATGTGTACTAAAATCAATTATTAGAAGTCTGTAAAATTTAAATGATTCGTAACTTGAAAAGAAGTTAAATTTTTAATCCCAAAAAATGATGAGTGAAGTTAACGAATAATCAATAAGAAATAATGATTTCGGAACATGCCGTGTTTTTTTTTCAAATCTCAATTGCGTCTGCACACTTAATTATAAATGGCCACTGTATGAATCAATAGCACGCGTTGCACTTACCATGTTGTGTCAAAGGTAAGCGACGATCTGTGACTGTAGTTGTGAGATGCGCGCTCACCGTTTTATACTGAAACAGACCGTTCGAGTTATCGGCATTTACATTATTTTGCAACAAAGAAGCTCTGATATTCAATATGATTTGATTCTATGCAAGGTGAACGCGTTCGAGGGCGTTTTTCTAAGACTGGACATCCGCCTTTTATTCGGGGATTTCATTAGGAGACTATAATGTAATTTGCGGTCAAAGGTTGGCTCCACCGAGGTTTCCTCGTTATGTGAATGTTAACCTAAAATCTGTTGTTTGCCGGATTGATACGCAATGCCTTTGTAAAAATATTAGTAGATGATTTATTTTTGATAAATTTAAAAACGTCGGTAACTTAACTAATTATTAATCTGTACATATAAAAATCTAGTGGTAGTATGCCCCAACAACATAATTATTTGAAAAGAACTGTAAGCCTAGCACGAGCCATTATCGAATTCGAATAGTTTGCGAGTACGAAATGTCTCTGTCAATTTTTGTATGAAAACTTGAACAGCAGCGTCACAAATGACGTAATGAGAACTAACAATCAGTACACATTTGACAATAACATTTCGTACTCGCAAACGTTACGAATTCGATATTAGTTCGTACTAAGGGTACAGTTTAAGACCCGACAAACGATAGTACACTTTCATTACGAATTTGGTTGTTTTTTTATTTTATTTAAATGCGACCTACAAACTTATAATAAAAAAAAAACTAAATACTTATGAGATTGTTGCTAATTAGGTGACGGGGTGGTGACCTTCATTGAATCTTAATTTATAGGTCACCATCCCGTTTCGCATTATAAAACAAAGCAATGAATAAATTTAAGTCAATAAAATAATGCAGCAAAATAGTTTAGTTAACAATTTATAAAGATCTTAAAAGAATATTATTTGAATATTAATATACATAATTATTAAATTTATTCTCTTAACAAAAAGGATAAAGTTATTACAAATTTTAAAACACAATGTGGAAAATTTATTGGGTAAATAATTTTGTTAGTAGGCAAACGCACTACTCCTCAGATCATTTTAAAACGGCTTACCGGCACATTCGATATAGAGAACTTGTTAAACTTATAGGATTGTAAAAAAAAATGTGTGTGTCAGCTCCGACGCACGACTGGAATTTACTCCTTATGTTCGATAGTCTAACCAGACGCAAAAAGAGTTTATTTAACTTAAAAAAGATTGATACTGTATGAAAGGGTAAATTAACAAATTAATGAAAATAATATACATATATAAATATATATTTATTCATTTCATATACATTTATTATAACTAATCGACGAAATATTTTACATTCAACTTTTTACAATAGTCAATTTCAGATGTGCATAAATATATCATTAGGAATGTTGATAAAGTATGTAATTATTATTATCAGACTATTATCATTTTTTTAAATATTAATTAAATCAACATTGTCTGCATTATTAATTACAGTGACAAGTGGTTTATGGTTATTAATGTCAATCCGTCATCTTTGTTTGTCAAAGTTGCGCGACATAGGATGCGCACCAAAAACGTAACGAGGTCATTCATCGATAGATTTTACTCTTCACATTTTTCTCATACCGGGCCCCTTATATATGCAAATCGATTCTTAAGGAGTAAACTCCAATACTAATAGAAACTCAATAGGTACTTACACTAAAACATTATAAAAAGTATGATCAAGTAATTCGTTACTATACTAAATTGTTAATGTGCAACAAAATAATTCAATGAAATCTATACTTGTTAATATTAAAAAGCTGAAGAGTTTGTTTCTTTAATTGTTTGTTTGGTTGAACGTGCTAATCTCAGAAACTACTGATCCGATTTGAAAAAAATATTGTTGTGTTGGATAGTGCATTTATCGAAGAAGGCTATGATAACATCACAGAGCAGAGCATCGTTAAAAAATGCTGCATAAAAACGGTAAAAAATATACTCTATTTGAGAGCTTTCGTTGCGTGCGTAAACAGTTAAAGTTTAACAAAACCACGAATGACGGAATTGTTCCCCTTTAAAAGTTTTATAAAAAGGCCGCGACAATATAAATATGTCAATTTTTTTAAGTTTGACTCACTTAAATATTTTTCCTCATATTAACGCGGTTTATAAAAATGTGACAGTTGTTTGTGGGTTTGTATGTTTGTTCCTCCATCACGTAAGAACGGATTTGGATGACATTTTGTACACATTTTTTGTTACCTGGATTGAGACATAGGATACTTTTATCCTAGTAAAATGTTGGGTTCCTGAGGCATTTTCAAAATACTAACGATGACGCGAACGAAGTCGCAGGCGGCCGCTAGTCTTAGTCTTATAACTGATTGATGTCCCTTCAGTTGACCGCAGGAACACGAATCATTTATTTGTCTAAGAATTAAATATTAACAACAAACAAAAAAGTCGGTAACGCTTTTCATGTTCATCTTTTTGAAACGAATGGCAAAAAAGCTCAACGTACAGTTTGATGATCGGCTTAAAACCCTTTTATTATACCCTCTAAGCTGCTTAGCGCGAAGCCGCGGGATCCCCGTTTAGGGATTCCTCCGCGTCTCCGCACCTAGCAGCCGCCCGGCCTAGCCGGGGCTCCACGGCAGGGGTCTCCCGGGGTATCACGGGGACCCCACAGACGTGCGCAGGTAGGCCCGCGCGTGGGGGTTGAGTACGCGGCCTAATGCCCACCGTACCGCCCCCCGTCCGCTGCGGAGGGCTACTTGGGCGTGCCCGTGTAGCTCCCTCCGCCGCCCCCCTCTTTGCAGGACAGAACTACAAGGGGGGGCTGCCGTCACGAGGTCCGTCGGTGGCCGGCACAGCCAACGCCATGCCGGTCAGCGAGGGACCCCCCGGGTAGGGTCATGGGACGGGCGCAGCCAGGGCGCGTCGCCGTCCTCTCCTACCCGTCCTCCTTCGGCGGGAGGGAGCGGCCAGAGGATCATCCTCCCGCTCCCTCTCGGCCGCCTCCTTCTGCGAGATAACGTTCTCGCAGAAGGAGGCGGCCGCCTCCCATGCCCTGTCACTGCGGAGCATGGCCTCCACCATGCTCCGCAGCGAGAGGGCTCCAATCGGCTTAAAACCCTGCGAATTTTATTTTCCGTTTAGTTCTATTAACTCGTGATTATAGTAATAGTGCAATAATTTTATTTGTAGGTAGGTAGTAGAACTGATCAAATATAAATAACATGATTAAAATCGGTCGTAATAAAAAACTAGTATATTCGCGGAACACATAAGGTTGTTAAAGTAGTGGAAAATCTCGTTGAGAGTAGACTTTCCTGGTATGTTTATGTAACGTGACGCAAAAAAGACCAGAAAGGTCGTGATAGACCACCTATTACATGAACGAATACAGTAAGAAGAGACTTGGAGACGATGGAATATCCCCTTACATTACACAATCACGGCCCTTTGTTTGCATTCTAGTGTTTTTACATAGATTGCTTGAAAAGCGCTCCTGTGAACGAAGTTAAAGGATATTACCAAGCCGACTTTATTGAGTAATCGTACAGGGAGTGCGGGACGGGGTTTCCCTTACTGGCCATTAGGCAGTTCGTAGCCTCACTCATGTGCTAAATAATATGGCATCATTCAACTAATTTTAATGAAATGCGCCATTTTCCTTCATTAACTGAAACCTTAATGGATGTTTCGAATTCAAAAAAAGACCGCCCTGAAGTATTGTGTTGTTTCAATGAGAGTCAAGTGGCATGAGTTCCACCAGGCCAAGTTAAAAAACGCTCCTGCTGTTTATTCGAAGGCTAAGCAAATAGTTCGTCTGATGGTAAGCGGTCGCCACGGCCTAATATGAATGCGATACCAGTAGTTTCATATGTTGTTTTCACCTCCTTTGAAGACACCCATGCTGTATTCCTATGGTAAACCGGAACAGGGAGCTCATTCTTAAGCAAAATTGTATGCGGGAGCCAATGCCAGAGAAAACGCGCAGTACATGACCAACTCGGTTCCGAAGTGTGAAGATGAACTGTTTTTTTTTTATATATATGATTAGGTAGGCAAATGACTTTACCCCACCTGATGTTAAGTGGTGATAAAGTCCAAACGCGAAGATAGCTGGTACAGCAGTTAAAAACTGCTACACCAACCATCCTCACCTTGCCGGCCCGCAAAAATGCTTCTTCACGCCTCTCTTAAAGGACCCCAGATTATAGGAAGGAGGGAACACGTGCGTGGGCAAAGAATTCCTCTTTCGAATAGTACGACAAAGAAATGAGTCGCCAAATTTCTTTGTTCGTGAAGGAATAGTGGCCACAGTAAGTCGGTGGTCCTCTGAAGAAAAGGTGATGGAGGGATAAGCGAGAATAGCTCCTCAGCACACTCGCCGTGGTATAGTCGGTAGAATGCGCTTAATGATGCCACATCACGGCGTAATTGTAGAGACTCGAGTTTCTTAGTTACCTCTTCATCGCCAATGATGCGGGCAGCGCGCCGCTGCAACCTATCCAAGGCATCGAGTAAGTACTTAGCGGAACCATCCCAGAGGTGCGAGCAATATTCCACGCAGGACCGCACTTGCGTTTTGTACAACAAGCTTGTTCAGGGCTCCGAGTTTGCGTGAAGCTGCTACACTTTTTAGGAATATAATTCTGCTCACAATTCATCCACAGGTAGGGTTACCATCCGTCCGGACAAGTCCGGACTTTTTCCTTTTGTCCGGACTTTGTCCGGCTTTTTAATTTGTCCGGATTTTTTTAAGTAGAGAGAATATGAGTAAAACTACTTATTAAGTTATGTCAAATAAGTCAAATAATCTTTATTAAGTTCTCATTGATTTAAAACAAAATATAAATTATCTTTAATAATCAACAACGAGACCCCCCTCGAGATGCGAGCGTCTGCTACCACACGTATAATATCACTGTAACTAAGTGGGTGATGTTTGCATTTTGTGACTAAAATGTCCGGACTTTTATCGAAATGTCCGGCTTTTAGTCAGGACTTTTCAAATTCTTAAATAGCAACCCTATCCACAGGGCTCTCAGGATGTGGTTAGAGCTCCACTGGGCTA